GGGAGATGATTGCCAGGTACTAGGTACACAATCAGGCACATGTACGTACAATCGACCTTCTCGAGCAAAGGAAAACCCGAATTTCGGGTTGGTATACACTGTTATAATTATCGAAGCTCGAAGCTCCGATACGCAATCGAAACGACTCCCGGTCCCTGGTAGATCTACGATCCCTTGCCTCGCGTGATACATCATGTCCATGCTCAGAATACCGTGTCCATCCAGTCATATCCTTTGTGTCCATGCACCCGTAAACATGGCAAATCAACACGTTGTCTACCTTCACTTCAGGCTTCATCACCGTCGAGACGCAGATTTTGCGTACATCACTACTATCATGTAGCTCCTCATTCATCAACCAGTACACAACTATTACTTACGACAAGTACAGACCCAGGTCTCTCTGGGCCGTCTGGCCTAGCTGGGTAGGCGCAAGTGCCAAATACTGCATCTGGCAGGCACTGAGATTTCGATCGGCTGGAGACTGGACTCGCAGATCTACGAGTCGTAGTCGTAGTACAATGTAGTGTCAATCTCGTGCATGCACATGTCGTTTCTTTGATTGATCGGATCGCTCGCTGGCTGAATACGGCGAGGTCGGTGGTGAGAAAGGCGTTGAGTCCTTGGACTCGAGCTTCAATCGCTCAGGAAGTTTGTAGATCGCACCTAGTGTTGGGGGACGGCGGCAGAGGGTTCCATTTGTCAACACTCTGCACCGCGCTGGGCGCAGCCCCAATCAGGTGATGTTTATCGCTGCGGCATTGGAACAGAAGGCATGTTTTCCGCTTTCCGTCGCCAATGCCCGCTAGCATGTAACACCAAAGTAAGTGCTGCGAGAAGCAGTTTGAAAAAAAAACTTGCTTCTTCCTGCGTTCATCTGATCCGCGTGCTCCTGCGCTAGGGACATCGTGATAGTGTCGAGCTACCGTGCATGTTGTGCCGTGCATGCAGCACGCTGCAAAACATCCTCCGCTCTTTGTAGATAGCGACGATGGCTGTGGATAGCGTGGAGCAGATGGATGAGATTTGCATCATTCTTCCAACTGGCCAGAAAAAGTTCGTCTCTGGTCTGGCGTACGACACTCGCTGCTCGGATATAGTCGCTGCTGTGCTGGAGTCTGTTGAGCTGCCAGATATGCCGCTTCTCTACCTTTGGGAGTGCTGGCAAAGCTCGTCGCGACTCGTAAAGGATGACGAACCAGTGCTCCCCCTGCTCGCACAGTGGGGCGAGTTTGTCGGAGATGTGCGCTTCGAGCTGCGCCCGTTATCCTGCGTCGAGGCGCGCAGCGTGCGCTGGCGTCGATCGGTGGAGCGGTCGAGACGGCGGCTGGCGCTCGGCGTGAAGCATCGCAGGAAGCAACAGCAGAGCGTGCGCTACGCGTCGCGACACGTGTGGCGATGTGTGCAGCGGTGCAGATCTGCGTACTGCCCTGTACGCGAAATGCGGGAATCGCTGGCTGAATCGTGGGGGCTAGAGGCGGAAAGACTGCAGGCGAAGATCGACAGTCTCATTAATCAGGAAAGGGAACAGCTGAAGAGAATACATGAGATGTTTGACGAAGAGTTTGCCCTGCAAGAAGAAATAGTAGACGCAGAGGGTGTGATTCAGCTGATACCGTACAACGAAGATGACGACGACTTGTTGGAACTAACGGCCAGTCCAAGGGACCTGGCCTTGGACACCGCAGACCCAGCCGTAGCAACGGCGGCGACTGACCTTCAGGACTCCGCTCAAGCGTTAAGAGACGAAATTGCTGCGCTGCACGAGCAGATCAAAGTGGAGACGGAGGCGCTCGCACACGGCCAACTCCAGCTGGCCTCCCTGGGCGACGAAATAGTCGCCGTGGACGACGACTTGCGAGTGGCGTCCAAGGCGGCGCGGAGAATGAATGACGTCATGCTCGACGCGGTGAGGGAACGGACGGGTGAGCTGTCGCTGGAGAGTAATGAAGGCGGTGATAGCAGTGACGGTCTCCGAATACCTACTCAACATCTAACCGCGGTGAACGGCGATACACCAGCCAAGGTGAACCCAGTCAACGATGCTATCGCCAAGGCAGTCCCGGTCAACGATACGCTTGCAAAGATGACCCCGGTCAACGATATGCTTGCAAAGATGACCCCGGTCAACGATACAATAGCGAAAGCAATGCCAGTGGAAACTGCAACGGCAACTGTGGTTGCAGTCGAGGGCACAGCGCCGATTACAGCCGCAGTTCGAACATCGCCATGGTCCTCGCCACCACCAGCATCACCGCCTACAGAACGACCTCCTCCGCCGAGACGCTCGTCATCGCACGAGAAATTCCGTCTCTTGCAGGAGCGACAGGGCAAGAAGGCAGCAGCACTGATGACATCATCCATTATACCATCAGTGACATCATCAATGACATCGTCAAGACCGGATTCCAGCAGCAGCAGCAGCAGCGGTACTTCGGTCTCTCTGAATGATTCTGGCAGAGGCAGTGGCTGCAACGAGGGGCAGGCGGGGACAATGGCGGCAGTCGTTGGCGTAAGGCCGGCCGCCGGACACAGCACTTCTACTAGCAATGACAAACATCTCCAGGAGCAGGAAGAGCAATCGTACACACACGTAGATAGTCTAATACTCCATCAGAGCCGGCACCCAGCTCAGAATGCCAACAAACGGAAGCAATCGGCTAGCAGTAGTAGTAAGGATAACGCGCCGCCGTCTGACGCAACCACCGCCGCTAGCAGTGCCCCACATCCCGCTACCAACACCAGGCCATCACCAGCGTCAGACACAGCCGCAGTCCGACCGCGGTTATATGCCGACGCCAGTGGCAGCAAGCAGGCAGCAGCGACGGCGAACGCCATCACCAGCAGCAGTAGTGGAAGCACGCCTTCTGCCGAGACGAGCCGTAGAGCGAACAGACCTCCTCTAGTGAACCAACGCCCTGTCACTACAACTACCACTACTGCTGATGTGACTTCTACCACTGCCAAGACGACAGAGCACAAAAAGACGCTGCCGATACCGTCGCAGAAGAGCCGAGCAGCGTTTAGCGCACAGTACGCGCTCAGAGCGTCAGAATACGGCGCTGACCTGGAGTACGACGAGGATGACGGCGTGAACGGAAGTTTGGTCTAGTCTTGCTCGGCATTACCGACTGTATGGGGTTGAGTGTCCTGCTGTCTGGCTACACTGGTCAGAACCGTGTGTGTGTGTGTGTGTGTGTGTGTGTGCACGCACGCTTGAGTTTGTGTTCTGTTATATTTGAATGTGTTGTTCACCGGGTCAGTCTCTCTCTCCCTCTTTCTCTCCCTCTCTCTGTCTCTCTCTCTGTCTCTCTCTGTCTCTCTCTGTCTCTCTCTGTCTCTCTCTCTGTCTCTCTCTCTCTCTCTCTCTCTCTCTCTCTCTCTCTCTCTCTCTCTCTCCTGCTCTACGTTGCCCTGGATACATATATATCTCCGGAGATAATCCCTACTCTATAGACCTTGTTTCCATGGTTATGCGACCATGGCACAATATCATTCGTTGTGGAGTTGACGCAACATTCTGAAGTATGATCGCTACAATATGTCCACGGTTTTGTGCCGAAATCATACCATTTCCTCGCCAAACCCTTGATTTTGAGCCGCCGGCCCACACGCAGTATTTCGTCACAGGCGTCCAACAAATCATTCCAGTGGTCATCTATTTATTCGCCACCAGTCATACTATCTCACTACCATGCACCCCTCTCGGGGGGCCCTTGCTTGCTTATTAGTGCATCCATAAGCAGCAGTTCAGTGTTGATGATCCTTTTTAGCGGTATTTTAGTAACGGGTTTTATTCCCGGTTTTGTTGAGCGGATGCAGTATCTGAATGTTGATTGTCTATGGCAGCTATTCTGCTGAATTCATCTCACAAGAGCATCACCTTCACAGGGAAGCTAAGTTATTGTATTCAGTCAAGTACCTCAAGTGTTTCGATACGACTACAGACTTCATTTTCTGGCTCTGCTTGGTGGACATGTCAGTGTAGTGTAAGCGTGTTGTCTTTAGACGCATCCGCCTGCTATTGACGGGATCTCTGTCTCTCTCTCTCTCTCTCTGTCTCTCTCTCTCTCTCTCTCTCTCTCTCTCTCTCTCTCTCTCTCTCTCTCTCTCTCTCATCACAGGCGTGACGTTCTTATGCATGAACCACATGGCATGTTCCTTGTGGCACACGCATGCTTGAAATGTCTGTCTGCTACTGTCCTGGACATGGAAATCCAGTAGAATGACCGGGGCCGGCGCCCTCAGTGCGTACGCAACGTAACGTCGTTGCACGCAGTGTCATGCTGATCCGATTCGACCAGCGCGCTGCATGCACTGCATATGTACCGCTTACCCACGGCTGCATGGCCAGCGCCCTGGGGCCGCTAGACGCGCCACCGGATTTCCATGTCCACGACAGTATTATAATTTCATGCAGTGGAATATTAGGAGGTTATGATGAGTTCGTATTTAGCAGTTACTTACACCGTTGCACTGGTCATGCTCTAGCCCGGACCGAGGAGAACGAGCATAGAAACACTACAATGTGAAGACTTGGCCTCTGTCTGGTGTGTCTGGTGTGTCTGTTGTGTCTGTTGTGTCTGGTGTGTCCGTTGTGTCTGGTGTGTCCGTTGTGTCTGGTGTGTCCGTTGTGTCTGGTGTGTCTGGAGTGTCCGTTGCCTGTCTGGTGTGTCCGTTGCCTGTTGAAACCACACCGAACAGTCAGTGCCGGGATGGCTGGCCGGATACTCCGAGATCATGCACTGTACGGTCTTGACTCTGGAGCGCGTGGGTGCACACACACACGCATAGGCGAAAAGGAGGAACTGACCAGGATGCACCACACATACGGTACGCGTAGAGCTTCATGCAGGGGCCTTCCGAATCTAAGTTGGAGAGTGGCTGGACAACTACATAACTACATAATTGCACATGGGCACACTCGCATCGGGGTATCGGGCGGATAGTACAGAATTACATCCTACACATCCATTCCCCCACCAACCATCACCACCCACTCAAGCTGTCCAGATATTATTAAATGTTTAAAACATCGTTGCATCGCCGGTACAACAGAAAGTCTTTTCGTATCATAATTAAAAAATCTCTGGAAGCAATGAAGGACGTGAGTAAAAATCAGGGAGTAGTAAAATACCGGTATTCTACTACTCCCTGGTAAAAATGGTAGAAGTGAAAATAAAGCAGAAAAGAGATTTTGAAAATGGCAATACCAGTATGCACGCGCAGTGGCCACAGAGGTGGAGATGACAACCAAACTTTCAGTGGTAAGAAAAGTGCAGAATACGTAGCATGATGGCACTAGTGCTAAACAAAGGTCTCCACACACACACACACAAACACACACACACACAGACATGCACACACGCACAAACACACAAACACACACACACACAGACATGTACACACATGGGTTCATGCCCGGATCTCCAGTAGATAATTGTATTGACGCTCGACAGACACGCCTGACACAAGGAAAAGTCAGGACGGAAGACGTCTGCGAGGCAGAAGACCAGCTACCTGGACAAACAGCGGCAGGACAAGAAGCTCACCACGCACACTCGCACAAGACGGCGTCAACACTCAAAAACATCGAGAACAATAGGAACAAGAGCAAAGCAGACGAAAACAAGTCCCCGCCTTTGTGGCAAAAGCGGCAGTGCACGGCAATAAGTTAACTGTTATCAGGAGGAAACCTCTCGACCACACCGGCTCGCGTGATGTGTAGGGGTGCGGCACTGCTCAACGCACCGTGGAACGACAAGAGAGGACAAGCGCTTGCCTACGAGCGGCTTGTACCGCTCGGTGAATACCACCAGACGTTCAACAAGTGTGCGACATCACAGCACACCACATCGTGCGGACCACACGGATCAGGATGGCAGTAGCAGCGGGGCTGCAGCAGCTAGTCGGGTTCGGGAATACGGACAAAATCTTGGTATGAATGATAGACTGCGTAGAGAATGCTTGCGAAGGCTAGAGCGCACCCTGCTGCCTTGCCGATCGTTGCCATGGTGTCTTGCCTGGCGCGCTCTTCTGCTGGCAGCTTGCCAAGATCTCCATCGCAAAACTGGCAGAATCCAACCTGGACGCAATAATTATGATGTTTGCACGTGCACACAGACACAGACACACACACACACACACACACACACACACACACACACACACACACACAGGCACTCACGCAGGCACTCACACACAAAAAACACACAGGATAAGAACAAAGGATTTAGGATCTACTATGTTTAAGCTAAACCGCTGGCTTCTGCAGCTGGAATAGACACCACCCCTCCTGCCTCTACCCAGCAGAACGCTTGGGGGTCACCGCAAAGGTTTGTTGTTGTCCCTGAAATGAACATGGTTCATTTCGCTTGGAGCCCTTCCCCTCCCCCTGAAATGAAGGCAGCTTGCTATGCTGGACGACGGAAATTGCATGAACATGTGTTTTGTACAGCGAAGGTCGACTTGCGATTTCGGCTCCCCTCCCCCAATGAATGATGTTGGTTTCAGGGACGGCAAAGACCTTTTGCGCCAACCCCTTATAATCACATGCTATGTCCAAATCTCTATCCTTGACATTGAGCACTCTCTGCAGCTAGAGGATCAACGGGTTGTTTTTATTTGTATAACATCTCAAGATGCATATTCAGAAAACTGCTGCAAACCCTGGGCAGGAAAATCTTCAATTTGGCCAGAGAGTCGTCATCGTACTGGTTTTTGCTGTGAGCCTCCCATAGGTGACCATAAGGTCAGTGGTGCAAACCTGCTTTTGGCTGCTTGCAAGTTTCCTGTCGGCAAACATCCCAGTCGAAGCCGTGTGCTTCATTGCAAGTTGCAACGGTTGAAATGTCCACAAATTCAGCGACTGCAGCCCTTGCGACTACTCATATGTGATAAGCAGTTTTTGGCTGCGAGAGACACAAGGCGCATAAACTACCCCCCCCCCCCCCCCCCCCCTCAAAAACTCATTGTGAGTAGTGCTTTCACGCTTGCGCCTGTGCGGGCGCCTGCGTGCACACACACATACACACACACACGCACACCATACACACATATATACACACACACGCACGCAAGCAGCGTAACAACATTCAACGCCACCACCACCAGCGCCGCCACAGTGTAGAAACAAAACAATTGCAACAGCTGGCAGTATGTCACTTACCCATCCGCCTAGGTTGATGAACGCCTTCTTCCACTCTGTCACTATCCACTCGTACACACATTCAGCCGCAGTCCTGGCTAACTGCAACACGTCAGCGCCGGCGCGCGACTTGCGAAATATTAGCAGTGCACAGAAAGCTAAGAACGACACGAGGTGGTACCAACGAAAGTTAGTTCCTCTGAACCTGTTCCAGATTTTCCTGATTGTGTCTCTCAGTTTGTCGACCCTATGGTTCATGAGAGCGTTCACAGCTTCCTCCAGTTCCTGGCGATGGTCCCGGATTAGATCACCTACAACTGCGATTAGCATGTTCACAAGGCCCGTCTCTTTTTCGGCACCGTTTCCAGGCTCTGCCGCGTCTGCTTCGCCTCCATCCACAGCGTCTTGCCCATCGCCACTGCCCCCAGCAGCAGCACTATCAGCATCTCCACCACCAGTTTGACCTCCGGCGACTGGCTGCCTCGCAATATCCTCCACCGAGTCAATGAGTCTTTTCACGACCACTTTTATCAGGGATTGCTGAACTACATCCACGAAGCTAGCATCGTTCTCGGGATCCCTGTAGTGGAAATCATCACCCGTCGCACTAGCCATTGCTAGCAGCTATGGTCAGATACGTTGCTTCTACTCCACACGTCTTACCGCGACCAGCCTTTCTCTACAAGTACAAGACTTAGTCCTCTCCGGTTTTATCTTCTCGGGTCTAGCTAGCTACATGTAGCTAGCTCGCGAGAAACTAAAATTTCTAATTCTAGCTCTCGGTACAAAAAAGAAGAAGTATTTATACAGTACTACTAGTTTGATGACTCACATGTGCACAACTGACACAAGACCTCACAAGTGAGTCAGGCCGCAGGCCAGGGCAGGCTAGCTCCACTGACTCACTTGTGAGGACTCTGCATTCGCCACTACAAAAAAATTGTAAGGTGTAAAGGCATAGTGGTGGCCTGCGGAAGCGAAGGCTATAGAGTATAGTATAGCTTGTGTGTGTCTGTCAACTTTCTGAACAAGTGATGCTTGTAGGGCCTGGTACATGGTACATGGTCAGACTGCGGCAAAATCGAAATAATCCTAGGATTATAATCCGAATCTCCATAGTAACTTGCCGCCAGAGCGGCAAAAGCGAGAGTTGACGCTCCAAAAAAAAGCAAGAACGGGCCACGCTTTTCCGCTCCAAACAGGATTTGACGCTGATACGCCATTGACGCTGATAATCACTGATTTTTCCATCTCGATATCGAGGAGCTAATTGGCCACGGACAACAACAAAACTCATAAGGATGGTTGCAAGGATTGCACTGAAGGTGTTGGCGATCCCAAGGTGAAGGAATTTGACGTCGTTCGTGGAGATTACCACTTGACGCTCGAAATAATGAGAAATAATGAGGTTTATCACATGTCACGTGAGTGTTTCCTTGGATCGGGCCAATCACTGGTCTGTATGAGCGGGCAATAAATCAGTCCAACGCCCGCGTCCAAACTGACCAAAGCCCGTCGTCAGTGACAACCCTGACTGAGACTGTACGCGTGAAATCTACGGGATGTGAACATGGCCTATATATGGTATATGGTGGGCATGGTGACTGTACGGCGCGCAGTGTGACATGTGAACGCGTGGTCGAAAGTGGCGATCTCAGCTTTCCTCGCGTGACTACGACGACTCTGTAGAATGCAGGGAGTAGTACAATACCGTATTGTACTACTCCCTGGTAGAATGTACGACTCTACGACGAGTCGCAGTGTAGCATTGAGACGAAGATGGAATTCTTTTTTGAGATGGACATCCCGGCAATGGACATGGCCTCGGACGTCTGCCGTGTGGTGCTTGCAGGGATCATTTGTTCAGTCATGTTGGCAGCCTGACCGTCGGTAAGCTTTTGGATAAGATTCAGTTCTGCTCGAAGTGGCACTGTGATCACAAACAATTATTTGAAATAACACAAATTCAACTCAGCGTCGTGCGTTTTCAGATCCTCGCAAAGTCACTGCCTGTGTGTGGTCTTCATGTGCCACGCAAAACTCTTACCAGGCTCATTTGTCCTCTGCCTTCACCTTTGCTTGAACAACAAACACAGCAATTCAGGAATGTTTTGCAATGAAAAATACAGCTATCTGGAGCTGAAAAAAGAAGAAGAAAAATTGTCCTCAGAATTACACACCAGGGAGTCGTCAAATACTTGCACTTGTTGCAGTACTGTATTTGACAACTTCCTGATTATTATTATATTATTATACGCATTCCCGCGGCAGCGTCAACCAAGCAGTTATGCTTGATCCACACGTTCGCTTATCCTGGACATTGAAACAAAGCAGATGTAGACAGCTCCTAGAGAATGGGGCTCTACAAAACCAATGATCGAAGTTAGTCCTTCAGTAACATGGAGCGTCATAAAATTGGTCTCATTGGAAAAATGTCATCACTATTGTCTCCTCATGTAGCATCATGGTCAATGGGTGGCCAGATAATTATACGTATGAGGTTGAGTTGCCAGATAATTATTAAAAGATTCAAATAGTAATATTATTATAGAATGGTTGTTATGAGTTTATAGGGGTGCCATGGCTGTTTCTACTCGTGACGAGGGTGTGCACAAACACTCTTCACCAGCGCGTTCCATGCTGGACGGTCCACAGCAATCCGCTCCAGACGGCGCAAGCCCGCAGCAACTTCCTGATACACATGTAAACATGAAGAAACTCTTTGTGGTAGCACTCTTAATTTTTCAACTGAAATTATGATTCTGCTGTATTTATTGTCGTTGCCATGTCTATTGCTATGACGATGCGGTGCCGGCACTTTTTTCTGTCTCCGTCTTTCAGTACTGTATACTCTCTGATGGCCTGTAGCAGACTTTTTGTTAGGGTGTAGGAGAAATATCTTCATTTTTCCTGTTTTGATAATGATAGCACATCAATATACATTGTGGTCATAATGTGTTGGCATTTGGGCCAATTTCACCAGCAGCCCAATGGTCTGCTCTGTGGACCATGTGATAAATTCGTTATCGCATGGTTGCTGCGGGCCTAATGGCATATTATTGCCCCTCGAGGTTAGCCCTCGGGCCTACGGCCCTCAGGCTAACCTCTCGGGGCAATAATATGCCATAAGGCCCTTGCAACCATGCGATAACATATACTTTTTTTCAAATTTGAGTGCGGATGCAGGTTTTCTCGCTCTGCGGTTTTCTTAGGCCTCGGTCACACTACGGCAAGTTTGAAGCTGGACGCAGCGTCAAGCCGCAGCACTTGACGCAGACGCGGGGTCACACAGTGTTTTGTTTTGTTTTGCAGCTCATGACTGCCGCGGCCTGACGCATTTGTCTACGTCACAAAATCACCAGGGAAACTCAATTGCGACACGGATTCCCACGGAAACCGGCCTTTTGCTTATTATACCAAAAAATTGTCGGACAAATTTTCAAATATTTCATTGATTTTTGATTACAAGAAGACGAAAGGTTCACGTGTACGCGTGCACGATCGTTGTTGTTTCTTTCCGAATTTGAAGCCATTTTCAGTTGTAGTGTCATAGATCAGGCAAGAAAAGTCCGCATCGCAGCTGTGTTTCTCCTGACTTCGTCATGCTGGTTGTCCTTTTTGGGGCTCTTGACGACAACACAACACTCACAAGTCAACAGGCTCCAGTTGGCCGATGACCCACTCAAACAACTGGTCCTTTCTCGACATCATTTTCTTCTCAGAAAACGCCTCGCTCTTCCGACAGGTTCGGAGCAGAGCAGGCTCGGCCTCGTAGGTCCACGGACTCCTCTCGAAAAAAAAGAGGGAACAAAATAAACCAAACAAACCTTGAAGAGACGAATGTCGAATGACTGCTCAACTCAAGCAACTGTCTTGAAACAAATTTTACTTGAAAGACACTGTTTTTCCGCAAAGCGTCACTCCCATCAGCGGCAACGCAGCCGATTTCCCCACGTCAGACGCAGCAGCGTCTGACGCTCAAACTTGCCGCGTTTGCGTCAGTTGCCATGGAAAAGCTCATGATTCTGACGCTGACGCAGCATTTTTGCCGTAGTGTGACCGAGGCCTTAGCTTATGTCCCAAGTATGTCTAGCAGTACCTCCAGGAGTTGCTGCATCAACCTTAGTAAGGATCTTGCGTCAGAGGACCATGCCTTCTTCGTCAAGCTGCTTCTCGGAGCAGGGGTTCGGAGCACGGACATCCGAGTTATTGATATTCAGGGCAGGAGAGGTACGTGTAAAGTAACTCTTGCCTCGACAGCTGCCCGTGACACGTTGCTCTCCCGCGGACTGTCGGCCCAAGGGAAGACCTTGGAATTGTTGCCAGGGGATGGCACTGCTGAAACGGTGCATGTGTTTGGAGTTCCGGAGGACATGGCGCTGTCGGCCATTGCGTCTTCACTGAGTCGTTTTGGGACACTCTTGGGGCCCGCAAAAAACGAGAAAAAGACGGTTGAGGGCTGCACTGCACCTTCAGTACAGGTATCGTATACTACACCATGTTACCCACAATCGCTGTCCCCAGCTCCATCACCGTAGGCCGGTACAAACTGCGAGTTTGGCACAAAGGGCAGACCCCCACGTGCTGGAAATGTAGCACCCCCGGCCACGTGGCGAGGGATTGCAGGGCGATCTCGCAGCAGGGCACCAAGCCCAGTCCGGGAGCTGCAACGTCAACAAGCGAGCTTGGACCACCCCAAGAACCACTTGGGCAGGGGCAGGAGAACGAAGAAGTGGCAGCGCTACCAACACCAGCAAAACAGCAACAAGAAGGCAGTGTGAACAAGGAGGCACAGGATCATGTCCCTGATGCACCACAACCTTGGACGTACGCCAATGCGTTGGGAGTTCACACTCCCTGCACGAGTGCTCGAACAGAGGCGACTGCCCCCACATCTTCATCCACACCCGCGTTCCCGATGAGTAGAGGCAAAGCTGGTCACCCATCACCCGATGACCAAGGGCAAGGCTTCAAGCTGGCTCGTGGGAAACACACGTTCCCAGCGCGTGTTATTACTCCGGCTACAAAGCAGGGAGTCCAGGTGATTGAGAGTGAGGAGAGCAAAGCCATTCGTCAACTCGTCACAAGGCTTCGGATGAGTATGCCACAGCGAAAGCTCGGGAGCAGGCGAAGGGACAGCTTGTAAGTTGTTAGAGGTTGCGCGCCTTGCATTGTTTGTCTCATTGGCTTAACTTTATTCCGCATTTGTCTGTATCTATCTGCATCAACATTTTAGCAACTACTATGACTCTCCCTCTCAATCCTCATGCACCACCTCCTATACCCCATGCATATACGCCGACTCAGTCTGGCATAAAAATAGCCACGCTCAATGCATGTAGCTTAAGATACAAACTTCCAGAGATTGCCAGCCTCATCCGCACGCGTCAGTACGACATCTTGGGTCTATCAGAGACATGGCTAGATCCCGAGATTACAGACGGAGAGCTCAGTATTGACGGGTACAATCTGATTCGAAAAGACCGCACTCAACGCTTGGGTGGCGGAGTCTGCTTCTATTACCGTCAAGATCTCCCAGTTCGATCCCGCCCAGATCTGCATTCTGAATCTACAGAAACAGTCTGGGTAGAAATAAACGGAAAACCAGGTCGGCACCTGGTTGGTTGCGTGTACCGGCCACCGGGGGAGCCAGTGTCTTACTGGGCAGATTTGGAAGCAGATATTGTACGAGCAGCTGTGCAGTCTTCTTCCGTGACCCTAGTTGGAGACTTTAATGTAAATATGGACCCAGCCCATCCGGCACCCCAGCACAAACA